CACATTTGCTTCGTCAAATGTTGATCGTAAACACAAAATCGAGAATGTGACTTGAAAAATGACTTTTTAGCCGATGAAACCATATAAGTGTAGATTACTTCTCTTTTAAAGTTGCTACAAAAGATGATTGAGGGAAATACCTGTCATTTCGTTTTATCCTCGAATATGGATAAGACCTGAATTAATATGGATTAATATGGATAAGGGTATTTTCTTAATGATTAAGTGCCCTTCACAATATTTTAATAATATAAAGCCGTCTTTAAAATAGTGCTGAAAAGATTATTCTATAGCGATGCAGATACTTGTATATAAATTTTAAGACGTATTGTATTTATTAGTTTCACTAATGGTGCGAACATTTATAAAGGTTATCAAGCTAATCATATGTGGTTAATAGTCATATAAAATCAAGTGAGTTATAAATCACATTATTTTAACATTTGATAAACTGCATCAGTCATAGGTATTATTACAATAGAATTAAAGTATATTTTACTAAGAAGGGTATATATTAGTTAGTAATGTATAACTTTTATTTAAAAAATAAATATGTTAAGGAACTTCGAAAATCAGAGCTTCTGGGAACTAATTCACACCAGATCCAGTGTGTGATAAATTGTTTTTTTTTTTTTTTTTTTTTTTTTTTTTTTTTTTTCTTATTATTACGAAAAAGCAACACTTTCAAGAGTTAATTAATGATAGATGTCCAAGAAGCGTAACAAAGTTTAACGAACACAAAGCAAAAATTACTTGACTGTATATTTTTCTAGGGAGAAGAAAAGAAATCAAATTTGCTGCTTTAAAGAAAAAGGTTAAAATTAATTCTTGAATTTTAATACGTAATTTTTCAGTAGAATTTTCTGCTCAAGTTTTATAAAATTAAATACCTTTTTAATTAGATGCTTACCGCCATTTTTTTCATTTAAGAAGATATTTCTTAATGCTAAACCAGTTTCATGTCTGAATACTGAAATTAATCGTCACGTTTTATGAACTCATGATTCATGTACATACGTGTCATTTAAAAATATTTTGAATTATTCTTCTCTTAAAATCTTCGATAACATAAAAAGAAACATGAGACAAATTTCCACAGGTAAATGGAATTTTGCAGGCCACCTTCCAATTCATTTTATGAGTTAATTTTGGAAAGATGTTTATAATGAATTTATTTTTAATAACTAATCATTTGTGGTATGGGTTACTGAGCTTAATTTGAAGACGATAAAGCAAATCATTTTTACATGTTATGGAAGGTCTCCATATGTTTATATCACCAAGACAGTACTTGAATTTCTGAATGAATAATCCAATAATACCATACTCTTTTCCTGCACGGAATATGAAATATCACGCTTAATAGAAACAATGTAAATAGTTACAATATAACTGTAATATCGCTTAAAGTACCATCAATGTTCTGTGAAACAACAAAATACCGAATTTACCGGTAATGATTTTGGAACTTTCTGTTGCACAGCACTGAATTATTGCAAGGTTGGAAATATGTTCAAACCATTGATGATAAAAAATGCATTAAACCTTCCCAGTAAATAAACGCACACATTTTTACTGACAGCAAAATGAATATACCAGACTTGAAAACAAGATTATTAACTGAGCAACGCTGCTGTTCTCCTAATGCATGATAGTGGTGAAGAAAACAAATCAAATGATTTTTATATATCGATATGTATTTTTCTACTAGTCAAAAAAGCTTTTCTCAGAAGGTTAAATAATCTTCGAATATATTTCGCCATCTTTCTTCAATTTATACCAGCTATTCGATATACTTAAAAACCGATGTTACTAAGGTAATTAAACAAACTGTGATTAAATTATCCCTTATTTCTGAAATTAAGCTGTATTGCTTACAAACAATTGCTCTAAACCGCAAAAATTCGATCCCGCAAATGTCGAGATATATGACAAAGTATGTTTCTTTCGCAACATTTTGCTTTAACGTGACGACTTCGAGCACCACAACTTGGATTTTGATGACCTAAAAATTCATTCAAAAGGCCCTTAAGAAGAGCCGAAAATGCACTTCAAAGGAAAAAAAAGGGCTCTTAAAAATGTTCCCCCAAAGTAAACTAATAATATAAAAAATCACACAATTGAAAAAGCTGACAGATAATTAAAATCCAAACAGTTATACATATTGTCAATTGAATTTTATTTATCTTTCGTATTTTCAGCCTTACAATGATGTATTAATATTGCTCCGAATTAGCTGAAGTACTCACTATTGTTTTCGAAAGTGAAGGATCTTTTGCTTTCAGCATAAATGTTTTCGTGTCACTAGATGCTTAGTTACAAAATAGGCCATTTCTTCGGTCAAGATGAGAAGTATTTTTCGCGTAGTTTGGAAACTATAGTTTTTAGTCAAACAGCATTAAAGTTGGAAAATTCAGTATTTGAAACTCTGCCTTTCGTCTTTGTTAAAACATCTCCTAACTTAGTGTAACTCCTAGCTTTTGTAAGGATTTCATAGTTAAAATTACGATCTTGAAAGTGCATCTGATGTATGCAAGATTTCTTTCAATTCAATTTCCTCCAATAAAAAATGGAAAGGTCGGGGTTTTTTCACTAACTTACGGCGGCGGACTGCACCAGCTGAGCAAAAAAAGAGAAAGAAGGGTATTTTATCCAGATAGAAAAGGTATTGTACACAACCTTTCTAATTCTAAGAATATTTCTGTGAAATAGCATTTTCCTTCTGCATGTAATTATGTGGTACTGATCATGCCCAAAATGCTTAAAGAACTAAGAAATGCTGTTACGGAAAAATTCTTAGAACTAATTTATTCATGTTTGCGGAAAGCGCTTATCGTGATAGATAGGAATAACATATTACATAACCAGTATTTAGGAACAACTGAAGCTATCTCTGAATTTGCAGTTCCGTTATTTCATGTGAATTCCAGTTCAGTTTGTTCAATAAATTGCAGCTCAGTTATTTAAATAAATTGCAGTTTAGTTATTTCATTGTGGCTCAGAATGCTCTGAAGTGCCACAAAAATGTCCTAAAAAGCACCGCAAATATTCTAAAACATTTTAAAATGCTTTGAAAGAGGAAAATGCTCAAAATCTTCCATCAAATTCCACTTGCTGATCACTGTGTTTCTGTGGAAATATAGAATAGTCAGATGATTACATAATAAAATGTCCCTTAAAGAAATAATATCAAGTTAAATTCCCCGCAGCTAATCACAATTATTTCACAATATTATTTGCTAAATAAAGACATCTTGTTCTGAAAATTTTTAAAATCATATTTTCTGTCTAGTGGTAAGATAGTTGTGAGGCAAATTTAAATATCGACAGCTGCATATTTGTCTACAATTATCAAGTTTCATTAATATATATATATATATATATATGTAAGATATAAGAAAATTATATTAGCTGCTTTAAGAATAACTGGCGACCTCAAAATTAACATTCTAAATTTGGTACTCTTCCGTTAACTTCATCTGTTCTCCCAAATTTAATATCCTTCTATGTTGTATACCACTACTTGAAAACGGGTAACTAAAACTAATATTAATCAATCATAGCTTGTCTATACAATTGCATATACTTCGATATAAACAACGCTGGCGATTAATTGCATCATTCTTCCCTTCCCTAACTGCTGCTCTGCCAATACCGCGCTGCTTCGCTTCTCGAATGCCTACATCATTTCTTTTAAAAAAACAATGTACATAGAAATTTATCATATTTAATTATGATTGAATAAGTGTCTGCCAAACTAATTGGATATGTGTGAAAATAAAGATTGGTGATTTATTAAAAAATAGTTTCGTCATCTTCGTCTTTACGCTTTCAACCCCGATCATGACGACTGCCAGCTGATTCCTCATACGCATTAAATTATGATATTATATTGGGGAAATGTAAGGCAAAGGATTTGTAAACAAAAATTCTAACTTTAATTTGAAGTAAGTAGTCCCTTTGTTCTCTATTTTAATTTTGACATTTCCTTTCTGCGCTCTCTCCGCTTATAAATAAGTCTGTATATTATGTCATTTCCTGTTTAGTCTATATAAAATGACGCCTACTTAACGCTGCTGTCACTTAAATAAACGCTTCAGCAAATAAGATTTCAATCAGCATCGAAAATTTTTAATATTTTTTAATCAAAATAATATTAAATATTCAATATGGTAACATTTTAGGTCTATTCCAGGCTTTCTCCTTCATTTTGAATGCATTGCGTTCTTGTTTTTGTTTTTGTTTGCTTTCTATTAAGAAGTCATTGTTTACCTCTCTAATACATCAATCATACTATTGTAAAATTTAGATTATACAAAGGTGTGACCAATGCGGCTTTGCAGATCGCTCTTAATGCCATGTGTGATTTATAATACGAATATTGATTTATTTTCAAGATTATTTCAAGATTTCAAGATATATTATATTCAAGATTTATTTTGTCGAGAAAGAAAATGTTTTTAATGAAATGTGTGCAGAACAATGGCTAGTAATCTGACTAATGTTAGCGGTGACCATCCTCTCTCTCTCTATATATATATATAAATATATGCTTTATATCTATATAAACTTGTAAAAAACGTATTAACTTAAATTATGTAGTGGGATTTGAAAAATTAAAAATGTGGTATAATTTGGTAACAAACTGTACTTAATGATGGTTTTGGGGCAAAACTTCTCAACCACTTGTAAAAAACAGATGTTTCTATTCATTATGAACTGAATTGAATATTAAATTGTAACAGAACTGTTGCATACTAGAATTCGATATAAATAAATACATAAATAAATCAGTTTATTCAGTTTTATACAATAAAAAATACTGGACCCAAATTTATATCAATACTAAAGAAATAGAAAAGAATATTTGCCATAACTCGTAACGGTACAGAGGTGCCTAAAACCTTTGCTTTAAAGGGTAAGTTTAAAATCATTAACTCAAACACGTAATTGTATCTTTGAATCGAGGATTTATTTTAATTATAATATTTCTCTTTTAGTGTGGAAATTGGCAATCGGTGTGACGGGAGGCCTAGTCTTAGTGCTACTTGTAGGGATTTTAGTGGCATATAAGTAAGTTGCTAAGCAGTCTTTTATAATGGTTTCTTTTCTTTATTTTCTTGAAAGTTTCAAATTTTTCCGTACAGGATTGTTTTTAAGCTGTTCATTTTTGTATAACTTTAACACTTTTTATAACCTTTGTTACTTTGTAGGGTTTATATTTATTTTAACTAACATTTATTTTAAGTTTAAACTATCTTTCCTGTCAAGCCTTACTTTCCCCTGGAACTGCCAATGCCAGAATATGTAAATTTGAGTAGAACGCGCAAGCATTCAAATTATCAGCGGAAGTAGTATGATTTAAATAGAAGGAAACGAGTTCGGTGAGAGAGTTATTCTTACTTAGCGAGCGCGGAGGTAGAAATCGAGAATAGAAGAACCCCGCGTTGCGGCCTATGTGCTTGGCGGGAAGTAGTTGCAATTGTTCCAGTGAGCTTCAAGTCTGCTGTATTAGCAGCCGTATTGTAAAACGCGGTTGAGTTTGAGTTAGTTATTTGAGAGAGCCTCGTAGTTAGAATATTGTCTTTAATTTCTTTTCAGGTTTTTATTTTTATTTTGACTGCCGAGTTGGCACCGTTTGTAAGCGTCAAGAGAACGCAATTGTAATTCATTACGTTGAATAAAAAGGGACTTAAACCCTTTACAAGACTCTGTGGTTTATACAAGCTTTCACAATCACCCTTGGTTGCGTGCAAGTTGTAGGCGCGCAACGTTATAACTTTGCACATAAATACAGCGCAAAAGTCGAAATATTTTATGCTCTCGAAATTTAGAATATTAGAATATTTATTTAGAACATTTATTTCAAAATATGGGAATGACCATAAAGTTTTATAAATGTAAACATAGGGACCGGAGGACCGTAGAAAATGTTATCGCAAATTTAATATTTTTTTTTTATTTTAAAATGTAAGTACGTTTATGAGCATTTGCGTTATCTGAAGAATTTTTGTAATTTAGAGTATGTTAGAGTACAGCAGTTCACTTCCGAACTGATTCGAAAGATCGATTCACTTTACTGAGCGAGCGAACGTGATTCGCTAAAATTAGAGCATTAAAATTCGCTAAAAATAGAGCGTTAACAGTTCAGAGTTCACCAATCGAAAATTCTAACTGGAAGCACACCAAGAAAATCCACTTCATACATTAGAGTAAAAAGCTAATTATTCCTTTTTTCGCTCATATTAAAAGTCTTAATTTTTATCATTCGCGAAGTATTTTAACATTTTTCATTCCAGAATTGTATTGTTAGTTATATGTAAAAATGAATTTAATATGAAAAGGAATTTTATGTTAAGGAATCTCAAAACTGCGGTTGAAAGGAATCAGTCCAGGAACGGTTCGATTGAATTGATTCTTCTAATTCCACTGCTACTTCAATTATTTCCCTTCTTCACTTGATCGTTGCCGATCTTTCTTTTCGTTGCCGATCTTTTGATCCGTAAAAAAGCGGTTTTGTCCTTTACTATAGTATATGTCTATGACCAACGACTGCAAAAATAAAGGCCATATAAGTACTTTTTCAAAGACGTATATATATTTGTTTAGTCAAATAAGGAGAATCAAGTGAGGGATATTTGTAAAGAGAGATGCTGTCTTGATGACTTCTAAGGAAATTTGTCTCATGTTTATGTTACGCTTGCAAAATTCATGGAAAAATCCATAAAGCCAGCCTCTCCCACGGGTTCGGATTTGGATCAATCTGCCATTTCCAGTAGTTAAACTTTTACAAATATATGTTTGGCTTCGTTTTCATAAAGAGTGTAATTATGTATCGTTGTTTTTAGCAATATATTACGTTTAAAATTTAATTTATTATTTTCAAATAAAATAAAATTTTAATTTTTTTTAAATTTATGTTTGAGTTGGACAATTCTTTTAACATCCATTAGAAAATTCTCTTTTAAGTTTTTTATACATTTTCTGCTGGGCTTTAACACCAGAATTTCTTACTGGAATCTAAACCTTTGCATGTTTATCGATATTTTTTCTCAAACAGAGTTAAATGCAATTAGTTATTAAGCTAATTTATTCACCTATATTAAAAAAAAACACTTTTCTTTTATCTGAACTGTCTTAGAAAGAAAGTTAAAACCTTGATAGCATATTATGCTTTATTCTGTTTTAATGCCAGTTTAGCCAATTAGAGACATAACTAATTCAAGTATTTGAACTGAGATAAAATTATTTGTATGTTCAAGTAACTGAGATAAAATTATTTGAGTAACGCAAGTTAAACATGAACAAATTTTGATTTTTTTCATGTTTAATTTTATTTTAGCTTCAGTTGTATTAACAGGTTTCGAATTACTTCCAAAACTTATGCATAATGAATTTCTTTTGTAAATAAATTCCCTTTTCGTAATTAAACCGATCAAAAATTTTTTTCATAACTTATTCTGTTTAAACATTTTTTCCACCAGGAACTGGGCATATGAACAAGAACTGGATAGCCTTATATGGAAAATAGATTACAAAGATATAGAAATAAATGAATATACTCCGACTGCGACTCTTGGAAGAATTTCAAGGGTAAGTTTCAAATTTATTTTAGATAGAATAGCGAGTTTAACATTTTTTAAAAAAGAAAATGGAAGTATAATTAAAATAAGTGAAATATAAAACAACTCCCCACTACACGTTCTCTCACCTAAATTTAATTCTACATAGTAATAACTGGAATATACAGCTGGATAGTCAGCTACATGATGAGATAGCATTATGTCAGCTAGTTTTATTACCAGGTTGCAAATTTTTTCGTCCCTATTAACTCAGTTTGCGTAACAATGGAATGCGCAAGTGGTTGTAAAAATATATGTAGGTACATGGCAATTTAAATATGTCTGGTAAATTAGAAATTAAAAAGAGAGGTAACGAATTAAATATTACAAACTATATATTTAGATCATATTTTAAACTTTAAATAGCATTTTAACTTGATAAAAATATTTAAGTTTTTAAAGACTTTCAATTATAGAAATAAATTATCTATAATTGTGCATTTATTTAATAAATTATTGAAATCCGAAAGCAAAAATGTATCAACATTTGCATTAAGAGAAACAACAAAGAAAGAAATTAAATATAGAAGTAATTTTGCTTCTTTTAGAACTATTTGTTTTAATTTTTTATCCTTCCATTATCAGACGATAAATTTACTTCGAATTATGTTATTTAACATATATTATTTCTTATTTATTACATAATTTAAGATCCTTTTTCAAAAATGCCTTCAGTATGACATCTAATTTATAATTCATTACACAGAAAATAGATACAAAATTGAAAGCATTATAATTTTATCAATATTAGAGACATTATTCTTTTACTTCTTTTCTCGCTTCCCCGCAAATAATGTTTATACATTTGAATTTAAATATGTACTGATAAAAATAAAATTAGTTTCACCTGAAATTTTGTTTTATAATAGTTTAAATATTCAAGAATGTTAAAATGAGATTACGATTAAGTGTATATTCATTTTATCTGTTTGTCTCATATTTTAAATAAGGCTGAAAAATTCTGAAGTAATAGAAGAAATGTAACTTGAGTCTTGGGAATCAGCATGTTTAATAAATTTGTATTAGTGCTCGTTTTCTTGCCAATGCTTTCAAAAGTTTTACAAAACGTTCTGCGAATCAAAACTATATTATTTATACGGATCTATTAGAAAAAGATAAAATTAACATTTATATATAGAGCCGGAAAGGAAGAAGTGGGCTGGACACCACAATTTCATCGTTGGTTGTATGAGTGTAACCCCACTGCATAAACTATACGCCTCCATCCCAGTCCCTCATGCCGCAGAAACACTGTATATATATGGGGTTATTACATCTAACGGCGTGTGAGGTTAGGGAAAATTTTCACGAAAAAACGAGCTTTTCGATCTCTACCGTTCTCAGAACAAGGCTTCATGAGTGAAACGTAAAATCATCAGATAAACTGTTTAGCTGTAAATATTTGGTGCAAAGCCAAGACATAACATTGTTTCGCTATGTTTTGTAAATAAAATGCATATTATGAATATTTTATCATTTTGTATTATAATTTAAATAATGGTACGGTTCAATTAAATGGAATACAGTGATAAAGAGATTTTTGTGATTTGTCCAGATCTTCTAGTCAGAGATGGATGGAGATCTGGTGTGCAGATTAAAATTAAACAAGCATAGCCAAGAGGTTTCTGCTTTAGATCTTTAGTCGAAGGTCTACAATATTATGCTCTGACCTTTTATTCTCCCGCCTAATAATGAGTCCACAATAACCAACTGCCGACCGTGAATTCACAGGCACTACAAGCCATTGCAATCAGTTCGTCTCAGACATGGTTCCTCTTGCCTGACAGAGAGTAAATCTTAGTTCGTCCCAGTTGCTTCAAACGGCAGTAGTGGAGATAAAATTTGATTGATTTTTCTATCATCGTCGTATTCCTCGCCAAAACACGTTTTGCTAGAACAAATGGGCCTCTAACTACGGAACATTTTATAATCGAGCAGAAAATGTTTCGCTTGAAGCTTTTTCTCTCGTAGGATTTCTCCAAAATTCTAGTTTTCGAATGCGTCAACCAACCAGATATCCCGAAAACGAAAATTCCAGAAATGTTATTTTGATGTCGAGTTGTAGATGTGATACCCATTGTATCAACATCCATGCCATCTCCAGATTTCAAACCCAGGCTTACCTGCCATCAGCCAGCGTCACTAACCAAATTCCGATCACTGCGACAAACATTCTATATAGTTCAATCAAACCAAAAATGTTTTTTAAAGTCTGAAATCTTTTTATGTTACGCCCAAAGGGACTTTTTTTTTTCATTAACACAAACGCACACATGATTCAAGAGCATTTGGGCTAACGCCCCTTTGGGCTAAAAATATTTAGAAAAAGTATGTCTTCAGAGTTTAGGATAGGCAGTCTCGCTCGCTTTAGATAAAAATATTTTATCCCGTACAGTGTTGTAAATACTTGCTTTGAAATCGTTAAGTATTTTTAATCAAACATTCATTAAAGTTTTAGAAAATTTGAAATAGATGATGTAACTAATTCGAAATCTAAAATTCGCGCATTTGGGTGGAGTACAATGTTTTACAAAATTTGATGGCTGTAGGTATCATTGTATTTTCACAGTGCCAGAAACATAGATACTGTAATGTCTTTGCGTTGCTACACTACCCAACATAATTATCAGCGAGAAATGTAAAGAAACCTCGAGCATAAAATATCCGCGCTTAAAATGTTTTTCAGTTTTTTTCTTTCACTAATAAAGTTGGTTGTTCGCTCAAAATTGCGAGATTTCTTTGAAACTTCATTACTATACATTCATCAATATTCTTCATTATTTAATTTCTTTCGATACAATGCAGGACGATAATAATTTGTGGCCACAATTTGAAAAGTAATTCAATGCGCTTAGTGATTCGACGCAAGATATCATTTCGAGACTAATAGCCCTTCTGTGTTAATGCCCCTTCGGGATAATAATAATAATGAAGAATTAAAAAAAAAAAAATGAAAGCTTTAGATTTTATATTTCGGCCAAAGAGGCGTTTTTTACACGGGGAATTCAAAACTGGATTTCAAAAAATGATAGACATTCGAAGTCATTCGACGGAAAATACCATTAGATACTGTAATGCCTTTGCTTTGCAACGCTACCAACATAATACCAGTAAGAAATGTAAAGAAACCTGGCGCATAAAAAATCCGTGCTTGTAGATGCACACGATGAATTACACATTAATGAAACGCTTTAAAATTGTTGAGTTTATTAATCTAAAGTTCGTTAAAGTTTTACAAAATATGAAATAGATAATAAAACAAATTCCAGATTCCATATTCGAGTGAAGGACTACGTTATTCAAAATTTGATCTCTCTAAGTACCATTGTTTTTGCCCCATATTAGAAACCTACATACATTCAGCAGATTCTTCATTATTTAATCTCTTTGAATATAATGCGGAGTTCTAATAGTTGGTGGCATAAATTTGAAAATTTATGCAGACTTTTATAGTGAACCAATGCAAAATGCCAAAACGAAATTAGTAGCCCTTCGAACAAATTTCTCCTTTGGGATAGAAATTTCTACCCGAATAATAATATTTGTCTTACAGGTAAGCAAAGCTATTATGTTCTAAATGATTGTAATGTGATATAACTATATTTTACGAAGGCTACAAGATAAAGTGTAGATTATGCGTATGTGTTGCAAAAATTTATACCGGCAAATAAGCAGCATTAAATGTTGTTAATTATTTAGAGAGAAATATTTTAATTGTTTTTCTGCAATGCTAACGCAATTATCCCGAATGAAGAGAATATTAACTCGTAACTGGGGACTTGGGGCGGTCTCAGAGACCGCTACAGGTGTTGTTCCTATCACCCCTATTCTATATTTAGTCTGACTGAGTGGATTCTCCTGCTACCTTCTCCTTTTGTGTCCTTGATAATTCTTCTCTGTCAGTGTTACGATTTCTGTCCCAGGTGGAAACATGGCTCTGAGACTCAGTCCGAGAAATATCATATATCCTTCTAATTCGCGTTATGCAGAAGTGCTGTAAAGAATTCTTGATGAAGTGGAAAGTGAATTTAGCGATGAAGATGAATGCCAAGAAGATTTTTCAAATGAAAGTTCGCATTCCACGACATCAGAATTTTCTGAATCTGACAATGAATACACTAAACCAGAGACTGAATCCATTTCATCTATAAAATATTATTATGTTAGGAACCGCTTCAAGTGGTCATCTATTGAACCTCAACGAAATGTGAGAACTCCCGCGCATAATATAGTTCATCTTCCAGGATTAAGAGTATATGGAAAATTGGGTGAAAATACGGATCCTAAAAGCATTTGGAAAGTCTTATTCACAAACGAAATATTAGAGAAAAAGAAAGAACTGAAAACTTCGTATTTATGCTTAAGTTGTAAAACGCCAATTTGTTTGGTATATACACAAAAATTATGTCACGAATGTGCACAAGAATATGCTGAGTAAGTTGATATCTTTTGCAAGAACACAATGGTATTACTGATAGTAAGGTACTGTCATTTTTTATGTTTCGTACAATATTTATATTTTTCATCTGAATATATCTATCACATGTTAAATTAATGGAAAATAATTATTATTCATAAAAATAATAGTTCTTCTGGTTTGTTTTGCATAATTTACATTTGCAAGTGGTTTTTCATAAAAAAAAAGTTCATGTTGCAGAAAAGATGTTCCTAGTGTTGACTAATTTCTTTGCAAAATATTTTTTTTTGTTCGAAGATATGTGTTTATAGAATGTATGGGTAAAATAAAATTTTAATATTTTGATTAGGACATTTTATTTAAACCATAACGAGACGCGGTTTTTGTGACTGCACGTCCCCGGTTATGTCCCAATATTTGACCTCCCGTGCTACGGGGTGTCAATAACCTTGATTCCGTTGAGTCTCAATAACCTTTGATAAAAGATACATCTTGATTTACCCATGTATTTTACCCCCTCCCAAAAAAAAAATCTGAAATTCTTCAGATTTTAA